TGAATGATGGAATTCATGTACCAATAATGGGTAAGAATATATCTTTCAAGAGAGGCAACCTAAGACAGGTGCAATCTTCTGCGCCATAGCTCTTACGCTATGATCTTTTAAAATACGAAAAAAGGGAGGCCTGTGGAGAGCTGCATGTTTGTCAAGCTGCTCTGTTACTGAGTATTCCTAGAAAAACGTGTTTTCATCCTGGCCTTCACTGTGAGACAGAGATAAGAGGATGTTTCACCAAGTTCCTTAAAACTTGCTTGTGTGACCTGGGACCATATCTGCTACAGGGAAGTAGTTTTAGAAAACAAGTTTGGCAGTTCTAGGAACTTTTTGTATTGATGTGACTTGTTTATGCTTTGCCTATAAAAAGGAATTGTGGCATAAACTCACACTGTAGTCTTTAAATAAATGAATAAATAAATAAATACATAAATAAAGGATGACGTGGTAGTTTAAGTTTAAGTACCCTCTTAGCTCGTGGGGGAAGGCTGCAGACACTTCTAGAAGGAAGATAAGTGAGCCCAGAGCAGATAGTGGTTTGTAAGTGCTTCTCTAGAAAGATTATCTTGCTCTGGCATCCAGTCGACTTTCTAGGTAAGGTTTCAGGAGGATGCTGGACAGCAGTTGTTCCTCTGGAGAAGTGTCTAGTAAGAGAATATCAAAGAGTGTTCCACCCTGTACCCACGAGAAGACACAGCAGGTCAGAAAGTCCCCGATTCTGAGGATTTTTAACAAAAGCTCTCAGTGTGCTAAGCATCATAAGATGGCGTATCATTTCCAAATCCCTAACTTCATCCTTTGTCATTCTCCAAAAAAGAAAAGAAAAGAAAAATGCTAGACCAGGTGTGCTGGGATATGCCTTTAATCCCAGCATTCAGGAGGCAGAGGCAGGCAGATGTTTGTGAGCGAGGCCTGCCTGGTCCAGGGCAACAAAGGCTACACAGAGAAACCCTGTCTCAAAAAAAAAAAAATCCTAGAGGCTCCCTCCTATGTGACCCCATGACCTCATGGTACTCTGTGTAGACCTCTTTACTTTGCACCACAGTTACCTGTTTTGTAATGACTGTTCGATAACTTCTTTATTCATTTATTCGATGCCTGTGTGGGGACACAGTACACACATGAAGGTCAGAAGAGAACTGCGGGAGTCAGATCTCTCCACCATGTGGATCCCAGTGATTAAACTTAGGTTGTCAGGCTTGGCATCAAGTGCCTTTACCCACTGAGCCATCTTGCCAGTCTGCGATAACATTTTGTTTCATGCCTGTATCTTCCAGCAGGCTTCCCGTTGATTTGCCCTGTATTTACTGACAGTAGGCAACACACAAGGACCAAACAGGTATTTTGTTTCTCTTTATACCTTCAACATCTAATAGAGTTGGCACATCATTTTATCAGTGAATATACCACAGGGATGACTAATGGTGACAGTCAAATAAAAGAGAGAAAGGAAGTTAGTGCAAGGTCGAGCAAACATCGGATGCCAATCATCATGATGGGTGTCTTATCTACACAGTCCAATTTCTTATTTTCACAGTCCAGTTCAATTTTGACAGCTCCTGTCAGGGACCTGCAGCTCTATTTCACAGCTGGATAAACTATAAGTCATTGTATTATGGCTACAGTTACAAGGACGTGTAGCCCAGCTCCTCAGAAGACTGGGACAAGAAGATTGTTTCAAAGTGGGCAACATAGTAAACTAAAGAGTGGAGAGAAAAAGAATAGTGGGAGGGAGGAAGGGAGGGAAAGAGGCAGGCAGATCTCTGAGTTTGAGGCCAATCTGGTCTACAAAGTGAATCCAAGACAGCCAGAGCTACACAGAGAAACCCTAAATACGCCTTGGCTATTTGGAAAGTCCCTGTCTAGGATAGCCAGGGCTATATAGTGAGACCCTGTTTAAAAAAAAAAATCCTAGCCTTGTTAGATATCTGGCTTTTCAGTCATTTGTGAGGATACATGATATTGTATGTGTGTGTGTGGCAGAAAACAACGTCAATATTGTTCCTCACATGCCATCCACCTTATTTTTTGAAACAGAGTTTCTTACTGGCCTGAAACTCAACAAGTAGGCTAGGCTGGCTGGCCAGTGAGCCTCAGGAGTCCACTGCCACCCAACACTGATATATTTTTGCATCAATTTCATGCATCAGACTCAGGTCCTTATGTTTGCAAGGCAAATACTTCACCAACTAAGCTAAGTCCCCAGCCCAAAAGTCTTTCTCCATGTGAAAGAAACTTTAACACTGTGAAAGTCAAAGAGAAGTTGTTCTAAAGGGCTGCCCCCTTTTCTACCTGGGCTGAAGTTCCAAAAGGGCATAGGCTGAGAACTTTTTGTAAATGATCCTCCTGCTGCCCTAGAAATTCTAGCCTTGGTGCCATTCCTAAAGGCATTTAAAAGCGTCTCCAGGCTGTGCTTTCCCTTTTCCTAAAAAGACAGGTAACACATCTCCCACAAACCCAAGTAGAATTGTCACCCAGTTCAGCTTAAAGGAGTGAAGCAAGGAAAGGGGTGAGTATAGGTGGAACCCCTTCCCACTGAGCCAAAAAAAAAAAAAAGTGATGTTCATTGAGGAAGAAGAAACTTGAGCTTCATCTGCCTAAGGGCACTGCCAGCTTCCTAGAAAGAAGTACATACCAGGACAGAACCAGACATGGTAGCAGCTTTGAGACAAGTGGGAGGAAACAGGAGGCAGGATTTTACCCCAGTTCCCTCTCCAAGCCCGGCACCATGACTTCTTCCCAGCCTCCCTTCTTGGGATTTACCCTTCCCTCATCTGAATCCCCATGTGCTTAAATCTTAAGTTAGTCATACCTGACATGTTTTAGTTAAATACACACATAACCTCCTCTACTCAGCATAATAGTGAAGGTACAAAATATCACGTAGGAAGTATGAGGGCCTGAAGATGAAGTTGACAAAAGTGTCCACATCGACACTTCCCTGTGGTCTCTGTGAAGCACAGACTGGGGCAGAGAGAGGGCTGTGTTGTGATGTTGGGGCTTGAGCCACAGTAGAAAGAGCCCTCCCCTCACGGCTTTAAAACTGCCTCTAGGCACACCATTTCCTGACTGTAATCCAATGTCTCCCCTCACCTTGTGGGCAGTCACTGCTCACAGTGCAGTCTTTGCTCTTAGTATCTTTTCCTTTCATCTCAAAATCTGCCCCTTTCTTCTTTCCTCTATTTGTTTCTATTCCCTTGGTTGAAATACCCTTTGATGTCTGTTTTCTAGATACATTAGATTATTTTTTTTATTGCTGTATAAGAGACAGAATAAGTAAAGATGAAAAGAATGATGATGATAATAAGGCTAAACCTAAAAGCGTAAAATGACAGCCATGTAGTTCTCTGTGTTCTTGGCAACGTAACTGAGGTTCTGCAACAGTAAACCCAGACACGCCACAGTTTTCCTTTGAATTTTTACTCTGCGTCATCTATTCTCCCTACCTTAATTTTTCTTTTCTTCTTTTTTGACTTTTTTCTTTGTTTGTTTTTGTTTTTTGAGACAGGGTCTCTCTGTGCAGCCCTGGATTTCCTGTAGCTCACTATGTAGACCAGACTGGCCTTGAACTCAGAAACATCCACCTACCTCTGTCTCACAGGTGCTGAGATTAAAGGCAGTTTTTGAGCCCACTTATCAATTTTTACATTAATATGATTTTACAGAAAGTGCCCTTATCACCTTAAGCATCAGATCTTCACAGTCCATTGTGCTTCAGACTGAAAAGTGCAGGCAGGTCACATAAGGAGCCTGTTAAAAATGCAGATTCCCAGCCAATTACTGTAGACCATGCCTGCCATGTCAGCAGTTGAGAAGCTGAGGTAGGCAGGTCAGGAGTTCAAGACCAGCTGCAGCTAATAGGCCAGCCTGAGCTACATGATTGTGATTGGACATAGTGGATTCACATCTTATTGAGAGAGCTCATCTAAGACAAACAATGAAGATGAGGAGAATATGGGAGTTATCTCCAAAACAGTGCTCTCTCCCAGCAAAGGAAGCATGGGGATTTGAGCTAGGAATTCTGGACATTTTGTCCTAGGCATATCCAGTTACGAGGTCACTGATGAGCATTTAAGGTCATACTTTTTTTTTTTTAAGATTTGTTTATTTTCTAGTTTATACGTATGGGTGGGTTTTTTTTTAAGATTTATTTATTTATTATGTATACAATGTGTGTTTTGCATGTACACCTGCACACCAGAAGAGGGCACCAGATTTCATTTTAGATGGTTGTGAGCCACCATGTGGTTGCTGGGAATTGAACTCAGGACCTCTGGAAGAGCAGCCAATGCTCTTAACCTCTGAGCCATCTCTCCAGCCCCCACGTATGGGTGTTTTGCCTGTTATGTATGTATGCACTCTATGTGCATGGCTGTTGCCCGAGGAAGTCAAAACAGTGTCAGATCCTCTGGAGCTAGAGTTTCAGATGGTTTCGAGCCACCACGTGGATGCTAAGAACTAGACCTGGGTCCTCTGCAGAAGCAACAAGTGTTCTTAATGGCTGAACCATCCCTGTGGTCCCGGGTCGTAATTTTAGAAGAGATGGTGGAAATATTTGGAGGCATGCTCGCCTCAAAGTCCTGGGGCACTGACCAAACATTAAAGCGGCAGAAATGCCTCTGGGAATGCTCCGCTGGCTCCATAAAGTTTCTCCTGACAATAAAGGAAAGGACTCTAGGCCGGTGAGATGGCTCAGTGCATAAGGGTGCTTGCTGCACTCCTAAACTTGATGATTTCGTTCAATCCCTAGAACCACATGATGGACAGAAAACAGAGTTACCGTTGCACACCTGTTGTGTCACACACACACACACACACACACACACTGCATCACTACGACCAGTTTATGACTTGTACAGATTTGGCAAGCCATCTATCAACTGATCTCTGCAGTAGATTTTTAATAATTAATATGAGCAGTTCATGAGCTGGGAATCGGCTGAGTAAGCATCTGAAAAAGACTGACTATGCATCATTCCCTTCTTTCCTCTGTCTTCTAGAGAAATCAACTTTCCTGTAATTGGTCAGTATGTGGATTACCTGGTGAAGGAACAGGGAGTGAAGAACATTTTTGGTAAGTCATCTTGAGAGTTCTCTGTATGTGTCTAGCTCAGGCCTTAGCAAGTAGTAGATCTCACGTGATCAGGAGGTCACAGGGCATGTGTCAGAGGTCAAAGGGTCATGGTGGGTTATACTAGGATAACTAAAAGTTCTGAGTGTTCTACAGATTCCTTAAGAGTATCTTATTTGGCAGTATACCAACAAATACATTGTTTTTATCTCCACTTGGAGATAAAACTTTATGCTGTAGAGACTCTTGAGGTCATGCAACCAAAAGAGGATAGAAAACAGCAAACCCAGCTTAAGTAACATTTTAGCCCAGCATGGTGACACACACCATTAATCCCAGAGGAGTGGATCTTTGAGTTTGAGACCAGCCTGGTCTACAGAGTGAGTTCCAGGACAGCCAGGAGAAACCCTGTCTCAGGGGGAAAAAAAATTGCACCTGCTCTTTTCTGAAGGAAAATGGAGGAGCAATGGATCTAGGGGAGAGGAGAGATGAGGGCGGAGCTAGGAAGAGTGGAAGCCGGAGAAGCTTTCGTCGGAATGTATTATAGAAAGAAGAATAGAGAAAAAATAAATTTACAGTAACTTAAAAATTACAAAAAAGAAAAAAGAAAGAAATTAACAATAAAATTTAAAATAATAAAATGTTTAATAATAAAAAATAAAAGTTAAGCCAATGTGGTAGCATGTACCAATAGTTCCAGCATGTAAGAGGGTAAGGCAGGAGGATCATAAAGCCAGCCTAGGATACAATGCAAGTCTCTGCCTTTAAAAAAAAAAAAAAAGGTCTGGAGAGATGGCTCAGTGGTTAAGAGCACTGGCTGCTCTCCCAAAGTAGCAGGGTTCAAATCCCAGAACCCACATGGCAGTTTACAACTGTCTGTAATTCCAGATCCAGGGGATCTGACCCCTCACACAGGCATTTATGGAGACATATGCAAATAAAATAATTTTAAAAAAATGGAGGCCAGGCATTGTGCCACATGCATTTGACCTCAGCACTCAGGAGGCAGAGGCATACCATAAAACAAAACAAAACCAATGGGCTGGAGAGGTGGTTCAAGTGGTTACGATTCTTGCTGTTCTTGCAGAGGACCGGGGTTTGATTCCCAGCACCCACATCAACCCAACCACCTGCAACCCCAGCTCCAGGAGATCCAGCACGCTCCTCTAGCTTTCTTGGGCACATACATACCACAGAGACACACATACGTAAAAACAATAAATCTTTTTTTTTTTTTTTTTAAATTTCCATCTGTCCCTAATGGCAAGGAGAGACTTACAACCGCAAGTCACAGATGAACTCCCCACTATTTTTGATGAGATGAAGGTAGAAAAAAGACCAAGTCTGAAATAAAAATGGACAAGTGGCTCTTCCCCGCCCCCTGCTCCGTCTCTGTTGATTCATTGTGCAGTGCTCCCTTCCCCGTCGTGCAGGCCTTGCAGACCCTACCCTTGCAGAAGGCCTGGGCTGGCTCCACTGACTGCCCCTTTGTTTGAAACAGTGAATGGCACCACAGGAGAAGGCCTGTCCCTCAGTGTCTCTGAGCGTCGCCGGGTGGCGGAGGAATGGGTGACACAAGGGAAGAACAAGTGAGTAACTGCAGAGAAACAAATGCAGTTCTTGGGCTGGATCTAGACTGAGCAGGGCTCTTCCCACTGTCCCACCCCTGTCACCTCCTAGCCAGCTGGAGGAAGATGAGCAGGAGCTCTTGAGCCTCCACGCTCATGAGGAGCTTCCTTCCCTTCTCTGTGGAAGAGCAGCCAGACCACAAAACACACCTGTTCCCATTCAGAAACTGCCTCTCATCCACCTGTCAGGCCAGTCTTCCCTGGGTCTCCCGTTCTTGGGCTGAAAGAGGAAGAGAGCAGGAAGTGACCTGCCATTGTGTGTGTTATTCCTCTGTCTTAGTTAGGGTTTCTATTGCTATGGTGAAACACCATGACCATAAGCAGTTTGGAGGGAAGGGGTTTGTTTAGCTTATGCGTCCACATCATACTACATCACTGGGGGGAAGTCATGGCAATAGTTCAAACAGAGCAGGAACCTGGAGGCAGGAACTGATGCAGAGGCCATGGAGGAGTGCTGCTTGATCAGTTGTTGTTTTTTTTTTTTCTTTTTTCTTTTTTGATTTTTCGAACCAAGGTCTCTCTACATAATCCTGACTATCCTATAACTCACTACGTAGACCAGGCTGGCCTCAAACTCACCAAGACCCACAAGTGAGTCACCATGCTTGCTTTCTAAGATTCAGTCATACTAACTAATGTCAAAGACATTTCTCCTTCCTCCCTCCATTATGTTGCTCTTATGTTCTTTTAGTTTAATATTTTTTGTTTCTAGCCCCTGCAGGATTATAATTATATTATCTTTATGTGAGGTTTCTCTTTCAGTCAGCCCTGGGGGCCATTTCTGTGACAGTGGGAAGGCGGATTCTAGCTAGGGAAGGGAAGCTGTGAGGTCAAAAAATGCAGAAACTGGTAGCTGAGGTTTCCTCTGTTGGATGGGAAGAGGAAGCCCGGCCCTGCTGCCTCAGCTTTGGGAAGTTAAGGTCAGCCTTCTGCTTCCTACAGAAGATTATTCTTTTCCTCTGTAGTTTGCCTGTTTTTCTTCCTTTTTTTCTTCTCTCACTTCTTTTTAAAGATCTTTTTATTCATTCATTTTATTTTATGTGTGTTTTACATGTATGTATATATATACATATATATATATGTATATGTATACATAGCATGTTTTATATATACATACCTACATGTATGTATATATACAACATGTGTGCTTGGTGCCCACAAAAGCCAGAAGAAGGTATCAGATTCCCTAGACCTGGAATTATAGACAGTTGTGTGCTGCCATGTAAGTGCTGGGGATTGAACCCAGGTCTTCTGAGAGACCAAGCCAATGCTCATAACCACTGAGCCATCTCTCCTGCCTGATGTTATGCTCTTGGTGGACCAGCTCAGAATCCTGCATGTCCTGGAAACTAAGCACAAGCTCCCTTTTATGCCAGCCAGGACCTAGTGACCTGATGCAGCCCATGTACCCACATTTCTGGCTCATATCTTCTACTTGATATGAAGTTCTTGAATAGAAGTGTCCTGTCTCCAGATGTTTTGAAGAAAAACCTATGTAAATTTGGATCCTGAAAGAACTGACTTCTGCTTTTTTATAAAAATTTCCTTTCTACATGCACTTGAGTGTGTTGCTTTTTAAAATATTTTATTTATTTATTTATTTATTTATTTATTTATTTATTTATTTATTTATTTATTATGCAGTATTCTACCTGCATATGGGCCTGCATGCCAGAAGAAAGCACCAGTTCTCACTATAGATAGTTGTGAGCCACCATGTGGTTGCTGGGAATTGAACTCAGGACCTCTGGAAGAGCAGCCAGTGCTCTTAACCTCTGAGCCACCTCTCCAGTCCCCGAGTGTGTTACTTGTGTGTAGAAAGTGTGTTGCCTCTATATGGAACTCTTATAATTTTCCAAGTGCTTCTGATCAGGTAGTCAACACCAGTAGCAAATGAGTTTTTTGTGAATTGGGAGAAAAAAAGGCAATTTGAAACAATTTTGGAGGGCTGGGTATGCTGGTACACCTTTTAATCCGATATCTTGGGAGGCAGAGGCAGATGGATCTCTGGGAGTTTGAGGCCAGCCTGGGCTGCATAATGACTTCCAGAGCTACATAATAGAGAGAATGTATCCTAGAAAAAAATAAAATAAATAATAAATAAATAAAATAGCTTACGGGTAGAGGAAACGGCTCAGTAGGTAAAGGTGCTTACGGATCAAATCCTAAAGATGCTTCTTATGTTTCTTTGTAGCCTTGGCTTTCCTAGAACTTGCTCTGTAGACCAGGCTGGCCTCAGATTCAGAGATCCACTTGCCTTTGCCTCCTGAGTGCTGGGATTAAAGGCATGCACCACCATACCCAGCTACTTTTTAATTTTTTAAATAATTTATTAATTTTTATTTCATGTGCATTAATGTTTTGCCTGTATGTGTATCTGTTTGAGGTTGTTAGATCCCCTGGAACTGGAGTTACAGACAGTTGTGAGTTGCCATATGGGTGCTAGGATTTGAACCTGGATCTTCCAGAAGAACAACCAGTGCTCTTAACCACTGAGCCATCTCTCTAGCCCCTACTTTTTCATTTTTTAAATAATAGTCTTAAAAATTCTTTGAGAGTTCTATATAATGCAGTTTTTTAACTTTTTGTTATGTTTTGAAAACAAATAATTTCAGTAAATTCCCCAGGTTGGCCTTGAATTTGAGAGCCTCCTCCCTTAGCTTTCTGAGTAGCTGGGATTACAGACCTGTGCCACCAGACCTGTTTTCATACATTCCTGACTAGCATTGGGGTTTGTGTTGTGGCATGTGTATGGAGGTCAAAGGACAACTTTTGTGAATGGAGTCTCTTGCTTCATGATGCAGCCCCCAGGAATAATGGTGGAGTTGATTCAACCATCTCTTCAGTCTGGAAGCTAACTATTAAGCCAGCGCAAACCAGGATGGTGCAGCCCTTCTGTGTCCTTCTAAACTCCCTGTGATTCACGTTGCTTGTCTTCTGCAGGTTGGACCAAGTGGTGATTCACGTGGGAGCACTAAGCTTGAAAGAGTCACAAGAACTGGTATGGCTGTGAGTCCCCCTATGAGACCATTGCAGGGACCTCCATTTTTATGCTAGAATTAATACCAATCCTATATTTGGCTGGAAGAGATCAAGTGTGGGACCGCTAGAACAGTCATGGGGCCATGGAAGGGCAGTATTTCAAAGAGATGCCAACTGGGGGACAAGGGACAAAGGAACTTCCTCCAAGAGCTCTGAGATTGGATGTAAATGCAGCTGCGTCTGCAAGGTTTGAGCCAATGTGTCCGTATTCTCTGCAAAGTGAAGGTCGAGGCCATCTGCCGGACAGAAAGGGAATAGGAAATGGAGCTACTCTAGAGAATGAGGTTCTTCAGAAGTTCAAAACCTCTAAGAAATGAGCTCCCTGTTCATCAGAACTGTAGAAACTATGCAGATACGTTCTTCAGCCAGGATCAGGAATGCAGAGACGTGGCTTGCTCTAGGCTTAGCGATTAAGCTATGTCAGTGCAAAACGCCAGACAGGAGCCAGGCATGGCAGTGCACACCTGTAACCCTCGCTCTCCAGAGGCTGAGGCAGGAGAATGGGAGCTGGAAGCCAACCTGCACCATGTTGTGTGACTTGATTTCAAGAGAAAAAAAAGCAAAAGTAGGTGGTGGTAGTTCTGGGGTCTGGGTGAAATGATGAGGAGAAGAAAGTACAGCCAGGTGTGGTGACGCACACCTTTAATCCCAGTGCTTGGGAGGCAGAGGCAGGCACATCTGTGTGAATTCGAGGCCAGTCTGGTCTGCAGAGTGAGACCAGAATGGCCAAGGCTACAGAGAGAACTCCTGTCTCGGAAGAAGAAAAAAAAAAAAAAACCTACGGTTGTTCTCTGGCCCCACATAAATACTCATGTACATAAATAATACTCATGTACAAAATAAATCTTTAAAGACTGAAATGTTGCCATGTCAGGTGGGAAGGACACAGCTGAACACAACTGGTACAGAGAGGATCATGAATGGCATCCTTTGCTACAGGGACGAGCTCTTAGAATATCAATAATGGGGAAGCAGCAATATCAGTGTCTGCTTAGCCCCTACTGAACCTTAAACAGTTGCCATCACCTGCTCCCTTTTGGTGTCTCCTTTTCTCACCTGTCAGCTAAGGTTGTCTTTCTTCTTACCCAGAGTAATAAATAAGTGGTTCACCCACAGCCATTCTGACCCTGCGCTGATCCCAGTGTCTTCACTGGTCTCTGAACTATATCCCTAACTTCTCTTTTAATTGTATGATTTACTCCAGTGGGAAGGTTTTATTTGATTGTTAATGCTGGAGACTAAACCTAAACATGTGCTCTTCCATTGAGCGAAATCTCCCATCCTCGTGTAAAAAGTTAATTATGTCTGCTAGGTGCTGATGTTTTCAGGTTACTGTCTCCAGACAAGCCCCTTTTCCTTTCTGGCTATGGGACATGGCCTGATACAGTCAGCAAGCATATGCTGAGTAGTGTTGTGTGCTGTACTACTGGCTTGGACACAGGGGTGAACAGGATCTGTCCCCTGTCCCAGGGCACTAACCCTCCAGCTGGAGGGCAGTCACCTAGTACAGCTGTCTTACAGCATGAGGGGAAGGCAGGAGGATCAGAGTTCAAAGCTGCCTTGATACTCTACCTAAGGTAGACTTAAAATGTTAGGGGGCTGGAGAGATGGCTCAGTGGTTAAGAACACTGGCTGCTCTTCCAGAGGATCCAAATAAATAAAATAAAATCTTTAAAGTGTTATAAATTCCCGAGGAGAGGAAATGTCCTTTTTTTTTTTTCTTTTTTTGCTATAGGAATTGAAGAAGCTGTCAATATAGTGTTATGTGTCATCTGTGATATATATACTCTTTCTCTTCTTAACCTTTCTCAACCACATTCCCAGTCTGTAATGTCAACTTGAAATATGACTGTTATACCATCCCATGGGAAAGATAATATCACTGAGTGGGCAGAACAGTGGAAGAGAAATTGTACATGCAAGTTTCTCTGTTAACAGTTATAAAGGAAATGCTCGTGTCTTAGCAAAGCGGTTTTGGTGGTGTGGTAGGGTTTTGGTTTTGGTGTGTGTGTGTGTGTGTGTGTGTGTGTGTGTGTACTGACTAAAATCCAAACAAGTAGCCAGGAATGGTGGCCCAGGTCTGGAATCCCTGTGTTTCAGAAGGCAGAAACAGGCAGATCTGTAGTTGGAGAATAGCCTAGGGGAGCCTGAGAAAGCCAGCTGTGGCACACTTTAACCCCACCACTGCAGAGGCTCAAGCATGTGGATCTCTATAAGGTCAAGCCTGGTCTACATAGGAGCCCCATGCCAGCCAAGGCTATATAGTGAGACCCTGTGTCAAAAAGCAAAAGGGAGGAGCTGGAGAGATGGCTCAGAGGTTAAGAGCACTGGCTGCTCTTCCAGAGGTCCTGAGTTCAAATTCCCAGCAATCATGGTGGCTCACAACCATCTATAATGAGATCTGGTGCCCTCTTCTGGCATGCAGGTGTACATGCAGACAGAACATTGTATACATAATAAATAAATCTTAAAAAAAAAATAGCAAGCAAAGAATATCCTGGGTGATCACAAAAGAGGCTCAAAGGTTAGAGTGCTGGCTTTAGAGAACTCAGGTTTGATTCCCAGCACCCACCCACAAGGAGATTTACGTCAGCCTCTAATGTCAGCTCCAGGGGATCTGACACCCTCTTCTGGTCTCTGGATGGCTCTGAACAAACACAGAAATAAAAATAAATCTTTTTTTTTTTTAATTTTTAAATCAGTGAGAATAAACCAAGAGGAGCCAGTGAGATGACTCAGTGAGCAAAAGTACTTGCAAAAATAAAATGAAGCACTCAGCTTACCTGAACCAGGCAGCGCTGCTTTGCAACCTGGGACGTTCCTCGCAATGAGGTTTTAATACAGTGGTTCTAAACCTGTGGGCCACAACTCCCAAGGAGGTTCAACAAACCTTTCACAAGGACCAATTAAGACCCTCGGAAAACACAGATATTTGCATTATGATTCATAACAGTAACAAAATTACAGTTCCGAAGTAGCAATGAGAACAGTTTTATGGTTGGGGGTGGCCACAACATGAGGAACTGTATTAAAGGGTGGCAGCATTAGGAAGGCTGAGAACCGCTGTTTTCATTAAACTGGTTAATCTTCCCATTCTCTAGTTGGGGAGTTAGTTGGCAAATTTGAAGAGGTTATTGCTGACCTCTAGTGTCTGTCTGTGGGTAGTATCTATGAGACACGAGCACTTACTCTGTTATGCTCCCTTTTTTCTCGTAAAGGCCCAACATGCAGCAGAAATTGGAGCTGGTGGCATTGCTGTCATTGCACCTTTCTTTTTCAAGTCACAGAACAAAGGTGAGGAAGGGAGTTGGTCCACCTCTTGCTTTCGTTGAAAAATACGTATACTTAATTCATAAAGGCAAAGTCCTATAGACTAGAGGCATGACATTGCAGTGGAATACTGTTCCTTCTCCAAGATGCATAGCAAAGACTGTATCAAAGCACTTGGATTATTTTGCCACCCCATCTGGCTGATCACCTACTAAGCCCCAGTTGGTCAGCGCTTCTGTATGGGTCACGTGCGCACTCCTGGTGAAATAAGTTATGAGGTTTCAGAGTCATATGACTTATCAAAGCAGACCTGGCCGCCTGCTTCTCCCAGCATCCCTCAGTTCCTACCTGCTACAGGGCATTGCTGATATACCCAGGGCCCTCCCATGAACGCCATCCCAGGGGCTGGGCTGCGCTTTAGTCCCCAAAGGCTTTAGTCACCCATCCCTTTTATTCCTTTGGCCTTCTGGATGCTCTGCCTGGTGCTCCTCTCTACCCTCTCCTTTCCCCTCCCCCTCTAGACTCTCCCAGATGTGTCTGCCTCTAACTGTGCTCTCCCACGTATCTACAATAAACCTTTTCCTCTACCATACCTAGGGCCACCCATGTCTTTCCTTTTCCTTTTTATTTCTTTTTTTATTTATTCACCTAGGGTATATGATATCCTGATTTGGGGGACGGGGTAGAGGGAGAGGTTTGTACAGAGGATGAAAATCATCACTGAATGCGTAAATTGTCATGAAATGTCACTAATTGTTAGCAGATAGAAAACAGTCACTCGTATATACAGGTAAGTAACTTATTTACTGATTGATTGGGAATTTAGAATGAATATTTTTCTTTTCGTGCTATTTTGCAAATTTTGAAATGAGCAGCTTTTCTGAAAACTGAGCAGAGAAATGAATTATGCATAATAATCTTATCTAAAGTATTTCCCTGTGCTGAACATATTTTCACAGTATGCAGAGAAGGCATGACACATAAAATCGTCTCTTCCACTTTTGGGGCCTCATCCACAGCATAAGCCAGCTCGCTGTCCTCTGTGGGAGCGCCTCAGTTGACTTGATGACCAAAGGATTCCACTTCCTCAGTAAACCAGAGCCAGGCTTCTGCTCTGTCCAGATCAGTCCAAAAGGAAAAAGTGCCAACTCTGTTGAGCGTTTATGACATGAGCCATGACTCTTATCCCTGACACACACACACACACACACACACACACACACACACACACACACACTTTTTTTAAAAAAGCTTTAAAACACTAGGGATTGAACCCAGGGCCTAAAGCATGGCTAGGTCTGTACTTTACAACTGAGCTATATACTGAACTTTCTTTTTTAAATTTTTTTTAGAAAATGTCTAAGTTATCCAGCTGGCCCTGGATTTGTTTTATTTGTGTGTATATATGTGTTTGTGTGTGTGTGTGTGTGTGGTGTTTTGTGCATGTATTTCTGAACCACGTGCATGTCTGGTGCCCTCAGAGACCAGAAGACTGAATCAGATCCACTGGGACTGAAGTAATAAATGGTTGAGTCATTTTGTGAGTGTAGACATCAGACCTGTGTCCCCTGAAAGAGCAGCCAGTGCTTGTAATTGCTGGATAATCTCTCCAGCCCCCTTATTTTGACCTTTCCACCGAAAGAAAAAGAAAACTTAGGTGAAGTGACATTGCAGCCTCACAGTCAGGCATCTTCAGCTTCCCCGTAGATGGCTGCATCTCACTGAATGGTTCACTTTCTAATACAGAAAGGCCACTGGTTTGTTCTTGGTCACGTGACTCTTTGTTCTTTCAGATGCCCTGATAAGTTTCCTGAAGGAGGTGGCTGCCAAAGCTCCTGCCTTGCCATTTTATTACTATCACATTCCGTCATTGACCGGGGTAAAGAGTAAGTATGGTTTAGCTTTTTTTTTTTTAACATTTATTTAGTTATTAGTTTATCTCCATTGGTATTTTATCTGCATGTATGTCTGTGTGAGGGTGATGGTGGTGGTGTGTGTGTGTGCGTGTGTATGTTTTGCTTGTATGTCTATACCACATGGGTGCCTGGTGATCATGGAGGTCAGAGAGGGCATCAGATTCCCTGAAACAGAGTTAGAGATGTTTGTGAGCCACTATATGAGTACAGGGAATTGAAATACTGCCCTCCAGAACAGTCAGTGTTCCTTCACTGAGCCATTTGTCCAAAACCTGATTATTACGCCTCCCCACCCCTTCTTTTTTACATTTTTTCCAGCTCTTATATCCTACGTCATCTATCAAGAAACCCTACTATGCCTGGCAGTGTTGGCTCACACCTCTAATCCCAGCGGCATTCAGGGAGATAGAGGCAGGAAGGCAGATCTCTGAGTTCCAGGCCAGCCTGGTCTACAGAGTGAGTTTCAGGACAGCCAGAAATCCTGTCCCAAAACAAAACAAAACAAAACAAAAGCTCCTCTTCATCCCACCCTACCCAAGTAGACAGGGCACTGAAGAGGCAGTTAAAATTGCTCCAAAGTGGGCCATTCTAATACCTCAGCACTTATCAGTCATTCACATCACTTTATATGGAGGTCGGTTTACTCTGTAGGTCTTCTTGTGATTTCCTTGATCCCTCAATCCTTCCCCACACTCTTCCACAAGACTCCCCAAGCTCCACCTAATGTTTGGCTGTAGGTATCTGCATCTGTTTCTAACAACTTCTTGGGCAAAGCCTCTCAGAGAAATTATGCTAGGCTCCTGTCTGCAAGCAGAGCAGAGTGTCATTAATAGCGTAAGGGTTGGCTCTCTTCCATAGGATGGATCTCAAGTTGGGCCATTGGTTGGCTATTCCTCAGTTTCTGCTCCATATTTACCACTGCACATCTTGTAGGCAACAACAGATTTAGGGTTGGAGGTTTTGTGGGTGGATTGGTATCCCTACCCCTCCACTGGAAGTCCTGCCTGGCTACAGGAGGTGGCCGCTTCAGGCTCCATATCTCCCCCATTGCTAGGAGTCTCAGGTAGGGTCACCCCCATAGACTCCTAAGAGCTACCCCTTCCCAGGTCTCTGGCTCATCCCAGAGATACAACCTCCCCTTGCCACCTATTTCCGTTCTCTCCCAGCCCTCTCTCCCCTTGCTGTCCCCTCCCCTGACCCCCATCCCATTCCCCTCCTCACTCCCTCTCACACAGTTTCCTCCCTCCATCTACCTCCAATGTCTATTTTATTTCACCTTCTGAGTGAGATTCAAGTATCCTCCCTTGGGCCCTCGTTACTTAGCTTCTTTGGGTCTGTGGATTATAGTATAGCCTGTATTTTATGGCTAATGTCCACTCATCAGTGTGTCTTTCTGGGTCTGGGTTACCTCATTCAGGATGATCTTTTCTGGTTCCATTCATTTGCCTGCAAATTTTATGATGTCCTTGTTTTAATAACTGATTCAATTTTGTAAATATACATTTTCTTTATCCATTCTTCATTTCAAGGACATCTAGGTTGTTTCCAGTTTCTGGCTATTATGAATAAAGTGTCTATGAACAGTTGATTGAGCAAGTGTCCTTGTTGATGGTGGAGCATCTTTTGGGTATATGCCCACGAGTGGAATAGCTGTATCTTGAAGTAGAACTAATCCCAATTTTCTGAAACTGCCAGATTGATTTCTAAAGTGGTTGTACAAGTTTGCACTCCCACCAGTGATGGTGCAGTGTTCCCCTTTCTCCGCATCCTTGTCAGCATGTCTGTCACTTGAGTTTTTGATCTTAGCCATTCTGACCGTTATAGAATGGAATTTCAGAGTTGTTTTGATTTGCATTTCTCAAATGACTAATGATGCTGAACATTTCTTTAAGTGCTTCTCAGCCATTAGGGATTCCTCTATTGAGAATTCTCTGTTTAGCTCTGTACCCCATTTTTATGTTTGTTTGTTTTTTGTTTTTTTAAGATAGAGTTTCTCTGTGTGGCCTTGGCTGTCCTGGACTCGCTTTGTAGACCAAGCTGGCCTTGAACTCACAGTAATCCACCTGCCTCTGAGTGCTGGGATGAAAGCTGTGTGCCACCACTCACAGCTGTACCCCATTTTTTAATTGGGGTATTTAGTTTATTGATTTCTATTTTCTTGAGTTCCTTATATATTTTGAATATCAGCCCTCTGTTGGATGTAAGGTTAGTGAAGATATTTTCCCATTCTGTAGGCTGCTGTTTTGTCCTATTGATGGTATCTTTTGCCTTACAAAAGTTTTTCTGTTTCATGAGGTCCCATTTGTTAATTGTTGATCTTAGTGCCTAAGCTGTTGGTGTTCTGTTCAGGAAGTTGTTTCCTGTACCAATGTGCTCAAGACTGTTTCCCATGGTCCCTTCTGTTAGATTCAGTGTACGTGGTTTTATGTTGAGTTCTTTGAGCCACTTGAACTTGAGTTTTGTGCAGACTGATACATATGGATTAACCTGCATGTTCTTGGAGCCAGCAGGCCTCCTTGGGAAGGCAGGCAGAGCCGTGGGCTGAACAGCGAAGCTCAAGGGACAGCATGCCGCTCACCTCTCTATACGGGGTTCTTTTTGGTTTTTTGAGACAGGGTTTCTCTGTGTAGCCTTGACTCTCCTGTCCTGTACTTAACTTTGTAAAGCAGGCTGGCCTCAAATTTACAGAGCCTGCCTCTGCCTCCCTGAGTGCTGGGATTACAGGCATATGCCACTGCACCCAGATATATGGGTGTTCTTTTTTTTTTTTAAAACATTTTTAAAGATTTATTTATTATTTATATAGCATTCTGTCTGCATGTGTGCCTGTGAACCAGAAGAAGGCACCAGATCTCATTACAGATGGTTGTGAGCCACCAAGTGGTTGCTGGGAATTGAACTCAGGACCTTCGGAAGAGCCAGTGTTCCTAACCTCTGAGCCACCTCTCCAGCCCTATATGGAAGTTCTTAAGCTAAAAAGAATAGTTGATAAAACTAGGTCAGGCAAGCACAGTCAGACCAGGAATTCAAGGTTATCATCTGCTATACAGTAAGTTCAAGGCCAGCCTAGGCTACATGAGACTTGGTCTTAAAAGAAAAGGAATAAGAAAATTTGACACACTAAAGCAGGAAGATTGCCACAAGCTTGAAGCTAGGGGCTAGAGAAGAACTACACCGTGAGTTGCAGTCCAGCCGAGGTATATATAGTAACCCCTTAGAATCTCCATGTTCATTTACTTGGTTAGTTTTGCAATACTGGGGCTTGAACCCAAGGTGTCACTCATATGAGCTAAGCAAGTATTCTACCACTAAGCTATCCTAGTCAAAAATTTAATTTGGGGGGGGCGGGGAGCTAGAGCTTCCCAGGGCTTTGGGCAAGCTAGGCAAGTGGTCTACCACTGAGCTACATCCTAAACCCTCTGCATAGTATACTGGAAGATCAGAACCTACAAACTGCACTAGAGAGGAACTGTTTGTACCTTCACTCTTCTGTGGTCCAGTGCCTAGCCTGCGGGAAGGCCTCTGCTCTCTGATTGCACTGACTTTTCCTGTAGGTTTTGTTTTTTGTTGTTGTTGTTGTTTTCTTTTTGTGCCAACGGTAAAGCTTGGAGTTTTGTGCATTCTGAACAAATGTTCTACTCCTGAGTTACACCTTTAAGTGTGTGTGTGTGTTGCCAGGGATCAAGCACAAGGCTCCATGCATGCTAGGCTGCTCCTTTACTCCTGAGATATCCCCAGCCCAAGGCTAACACATTCTGGAAAAGAAGTGATTTTTTTTTTTTTTGTACTTTCTCATTCTTATCACTTAACACATAAAGCACTGTTCGCCTCTGGTCACCAAATGAAATGTGTGAGGGGATTTTTCTCTGCCAGCAGCGAGTTCTCCACTGGAGGTGAGGTGGTATTCAGCGTTTCCACTTCCATTCTAACAGTGACTACCTGGAGACAGCAGCAGGTTAGCGGCAGGTTGCAGGACAGACCCAGGAGTCTGTCTACACTTCAAATGCCAGTGGCAAAATGGGGTTTCCATAACTCCATCTTGGCATTTGAATGATTCGCTAGGGCTGCTCTTGGAACTCAAAGGAATCCTCTTACCTGTTACTACAAAGATGAAAAGATACTTAAGGTATGTAGGAAGAGATGTTGGGATCTTCTATGTCATCTCTAGGTTCAGAGGGGCCTCCATGTAGTCACCAACCCAGAAGCTCTGAGTCCTATTTTGAGGTTTTGTAAAAACCTCATCATATAGTTATAACTGATTATGGCCATTGGTGATGAAGTCAACCTTCAGCTCCTCCCCCAATCACCTGGTTGGTTCTCCTTTAATCAGTCCCATCCAGAAGCCCGGCTAGAGTCACCTCATTAGAACACAAGATGGACTAGAGGTGGAGTTTAGTTTAAGATGCTATGCTCAGATATGCAAAGCACCATATGAACAAAGCATGGTGGCGCTCACCTATAATCCCAGAGTTTATGAGGTGGGGGTAGGAAGATCATCAAGGTTCAAAGCCATCCTGAGCAGCTATTTGAGAGACCACCCTAGGTTACAGGTAACCATTTCTCAATATAATAGATAGATAGATAGATAGATAGATAGATAGATAGATAGATAGATAGATAGATTAAAAAAAAGTACTGGCTGTCCTGAAACTAACAGACCAGCCTCAAACTCAGATCCACCTTCCTGTGATGCTGTTGTTGTTGTTTGTTTTTTGTTTTTGTTTGAGACAGTCCCACTATGTATTCCACCCTGTCTGGCCCAGAAATAAAGACCAGGCTAACCTCAACCTCACAGAGACTGTCCGCTTCTGCCTCCTGAGTGCCGGGATTGCAGGCGTGCACCAGCCTGTTTTTAAAGACAGGCTCCTGCTGTGTAGCTCAAGCTGTCTTCAGATTCACTATGTAGCCCAGTTTGGCCCCAGAATCACCTTGCCTCAGCCTTCAGATTGTGTGGGAATGGGATTATAGTTATGTGCCAAAAGGCCAACTCAGGATGGCGTTTAATAGTTTCTGTTGCTGTGTGGATTACTGAAGCATTTGTTGTTCCGAAGTTCGTGCCGAGGAGCTGCTAGATGGGATTCAGGATAAAATCCCCACCTTCCAAGGACTGAAGTTCAGTGACACTGACCTCTTAGACTTTGGGCAGTGTGTTGATCAGAATCACCAGCGACAGTTTGACCTGCTGTTTGGGGTGGATGAGGTAAGTTACCCACTGGGCATATCCCAGCTTGAAAGTGATCCATTCAGCTGTTCATGAAATCGCGGTTCTTCTCTCTCAAAAGCCTGAATCTCTTTGTCTCTCTTTCATCAGCAACTGTTGAGTGCTCTGGTCATGGGAGCAACTGGAGCAGTAGGCAGGTAAGTGTGACTTGGCTTTCCTTGTGACTACAATTTTAAAATCACTCATCACTGGACTAAACGGGCTTCTTGCATGCACATCCTTTCTAACAGAAGTCCCCTGTCATTGACATACCCTTCATTGAGAAGAAACTGAGTTAAGCTGCCATCATTTGTTAGAGTCTGTCATGGAAAGCTGGACCCTAACTGAAAACGAATGGCTTTCTCCCTTCTTCATCTTGTCCTCCCCTCTGCTCACTCTGTGGTTTCTCTCTCAAATGCTAATGGAATGATCCTCAAACTTGGGCAGGAAGGGAGGGAGGAAGGAGAGGCATGGAATTTTGCCACAAACCTGTAATCCAGCACACAGAGAGACACAGGCAGGATGATTAGAATTTCAAGGTTACCCTCAACTACATAGAAAGTTTGAAGCCACAGATCTTGTCTCAAAACAATGACAGCAAAACAAATAAAAATACTCAGGGGTGGTCACTTATGGTTATCCATGCCTGTAAACAGCATTCAAGGACTGACGTGGAAGGATAGCCATGGCTTTGAGGTAGCTAATAGAAATACGCTATTTTAGAAGGAAAAAGCAATTACTGGCTGCTATTGCAGAGTACCTGGAGTCAATTTCCAGCACCCACATGGCAACTCACAAATGCCTATAACTATATTTTCAGGATCTGGCACTTTCTTCTTACCTCTGCAGGCTTCTGGCATGCATATGGTGTACACAAACTCATGAGGCACACACACATGCCTATAAAAAGAACAAATAAGTATTTTTAAAATCTTAAAGAAGAAACTTGTTATGTGCTAGTATCCATTGCAATCAAGCAGGTAAGTACATGGGCTGGGACCCAGTGGCTCCAGCTTAGCAGGGCCTACTGTTAGCTCTGTGGACCCTGATGTTCAGTACCTCAAAGCTGAATTGTCAGAAACTTAGTTACAAATGAGAGAAACCCATTCAAGCTAACCTGCGTTTAAAAAAAAAAAAAAAAAAAGTAAATGCTGACAGGGTCGGGAGAGATGGCTCACTCAGCAGTTAAGAGCATTGTCTGCTCTTGAAGAGGTCCTGAGTTCAATTCCCTAGCAACCACATGCTGGCTCACAACCATCTATACTAGGGTCTGATGCCTTCTTCTGGCATGCACGGGTATATGCAGATAGAGCACTCGTACATAAAATAAATAAATAAATATTTTTTAAAAATGAGGTAAAAATGCTGACAAATCACATAACACTCAACAGAGATGAATGCTGCCAGCCCCTGAAGTCCACCATGGCCAGGAAAACAGGATCACGTGACCCGGTGCCTGCTTAGCACCAGACAGGCAGTTCAAACAGCATAGGCAGTTGGTACTTCACAGGGAATGCTGCAGGTGCAGCGGACAGTTTGCGGCAGCTGGAAGTGTATTTCCTCGGGGTAGCTAAGGTGCTATTCACAGTGAGTCTTGGTGTACATGCCTTTGATAAGCACTGTCCAGTTGATTCATGAGGCGCTCAAACCCAGCGCCTCATGAATCTTAAACGCATACTGCGCCAACACGCTACCCGCCCCCCAGCCCAATTTAGATAGTCTTTTTGGTGGTGTTTCTGTATTTGAGACATGGTCTCGTGTAGCCCTGGCTGACCTGGAACTCACTAGATAGCTGAATTTTTTTTTTCCTGAGACAGAGTTTCTCTTTGTATCCTTGGCTGGCCTGGAACTCGCACAGATCCAACTGCCCCTGCCTCCTGAGTGCTGGGATTAAATGTGTGTACCACCACCACTGGGCTGACCTTGAATTCTTGATCCTCCTGCTCTGCAACCCAGGCTGGCCTCAAATTCAGAAGTCCTCCTGCCTCAGCGTCCTGGATGCTGAGATTACAGACATACGTGAACATGCACTGCAGCATATAGCTTTCCAGACTTACCTCAGGGGCTCCATGTAAACCTCTGTTGTCTACTGCTAGGTCTGTGTGAGTGTGCCCTAGGCAGCTGTTAGCTCCTCATTTTTAATTAAACAAAAAGGGGTGAATGTTATTCAACTGGCCTTCCCTTAGGGACCTTTAGGGTCCTGACAATGTCCTATGTCATACCTGCATTCTATGACATCATCTAGGCCAGGTACTTAGTGGCCAGTCTGCCTCTCTCTCTCTCTCTCTTGCTGTTTTTCCATCTCCATCCAATAAACCACTATCTGTTGTGTGCATCATTTTTAAAAATAATAACACTGTTGGCCTGTCCTCTTCTGACTAAAATACACCTCTAACTTTTACTCTCTGATTTAAAACTTCTTCCCTCTCTTTATCCCCTCTGTCATTCTCTGCCTCCTGTGTTGGCCCTGCTTTGTGTTACTAGAGAACTCAGAAGTGAAAACAGACTGGTTTTTCTATCAATTGATCCTACAAATTGACCAGTGGGGGCTCTCGGTGTATTTTTTCCTTTATATTTGTTTGTGTTGATTTTTTTTTTCTTCAAGACAAGATCTCATGTAGCTCAGGTTAGGCTCACACTCACCATGTAGGCTGGGGTGGCCTTGAACTCCTGATCCTTCTGTTTCCATCTACCTAGTTTCTGTTTGAGGACTAAGTCAGTTGTTTGGTTGTTTGGTTGGTTTTTGGGGTTTTTTTCTCAAGACAGGGCTTCTCTGTGTAGCTTTGGCTGCAGCCATACTTTTTAATCTACTTTATTTGGATTCTTACGCCTCTACCTCCCTTCTCCACCCTCATCCCTTCCAACACCCCAAAACCAAGTAGGAGAGAAAGAAGGTTAGAGAGGAAAGAGGGCAGAGTTCTCCTTAGCTATTTCTTGCTGGGCAAGCCCAATCTTCCTTTCAGAATATCTCCAACTTCTCCCCAAACTGCATCAACAACAACCAGGAGCAGCAGGGGGGAGCAGCAGCCTTCTTTCTCAGAGCCCCCAACTCTCTCTGGGCTCTGGCATTTATTCCCTCTCCAGAATCCTCAGAATTAAATTATCTGCAGCTGGCAGAGAGCCCCTTTCAGGGCCCACAGGAGGCAAATAGTCTGCTTCTGCGGACAGTCTGAATCAGCTCCATATCCCACACCTGGGACTTAAACAAAAACATTTACAAGACAAAACTGAGTTTTTAAAAACACCAAAACTTCCACTACACTTGGCTGTCCTGGACTCTCTCTGTAGACCAAGCTGGCCTCCCAGCGCTCCTCTGTCTTCTGCCTCAGATTAAAGGCCTAGGGGTTGTGACTGAGCCTAGGCCCTTGCCTGTGCTAGATGAGCCCTATCACAGGGTCAGTCTGCAACCCCTATCTCTGCCCTTTTAAACATCACATGAGTATAAAGAGCTTGGTGTTAGGATTGTGAAGCAGAGTTATACAGCAGGTTCATAAATCACGCCACGTGACTGGTTCCACCTGGGAGGTTTTATTAAGGGAAGGGGAGGGGTCACAGAGCCAGTCAGGGTAGGAGAGAGAAGGAGAGAGAAAGACATGGGGGGAGGGGCACCCCAACAGAGAGGGGAAGATCAAGAGAGGGCAAGAGCAAGAAGGCAAGAGAGCAACAAAGTGGCAGGTTGGTCCTTTTATGGAGCAACCAAACCATGCCCGCCAGGTGGGACTACCTAGCTGGCCTGGGGACACATGATGACATCATAGGTTGCTAGGTAACCCAGAAGCAGGCTGCCTAAATACTAACACTTGGATCTTTCCTACTGAATTATTAAGCTTGGAATATTTTCTGTTGTCTCGTCAGTACCTATAACTACCTGGGGAAAAAGACAAACCAGATGTTGGAGGCTTTTGAAAAGAAAGACTTCACTTCAGCACTGAATTACCAGGTAAACCGTTCTCCCCTCACTTAAGTAGCTGCCTTCTTTGAGGCTCCTTTATCCTCTCTCCTTGGCAGACTTGAAGGTCAACCTGCTGCCTCCTTATCTTTCTTGTTTAAAATGGGAACCATCCTCATCCTCCCTGTCCCCATATCTAAGGGGATACAAGGCCCATATGGGAAAGAGTCCTTCCTCTCTTCCTCCTACAAAGGATCTTATTTTTATTCTATCTTCAAAGTATTTGGGGATTGTAAAAAAATGGTCACAGATTTCTATGAAAGTGACTACATGCCATCCTTAGGTGTTTTGCCCACATATATATCTATGTAAGGGTGTTGGATCCCCTGGAACTGGAATTACAGATAGATGTAAGATGCCTCGTGTATGCTGGGAATTGAACCCAGGTCCTCTGGAAGAGAAACCAGTGCTCTTAACCTCTCAGCCATCTTTCCAGTCCCATCTATACTTAATTTTTGTTGTTATTGTTTTGTTTGGGGAATAGGGCCTCATACTCTGGCCCAGGCTAGCTAGGAATTCATGGCAGTTCTCCTACCTGACGCTCTCCAGTGCTGCTGTGTGTGAGGAAGTGCAGTAAAGAAACTGACAGGACAGCTGGCCCCATGGAGAGAGGGGTATTGTGGGTAAGACAAAGAGAATATCCAGAGGATGTGGAAGAGTCAGAGCACAGAGCGTTAATCTCACCTGCTGATAGGAAGACCATCAGCTCAACTATGAGCCAAATTTGAAGCAAGCTTTACATTTTTTTGTTGATACAGAGGGAGGCACTGGCTTTGAGGAGTTTGTGTCTGTGTGCGCTTGTTTTAGAGAACAACTTTTATGTGGGTTCTAGGGATCTAACTCAGTCAGTTTTGCACAGCCTTTTTTTTTTTTTTTTTTTTCTGTTGGATGAGCCACTTCCCCTGCCCTGGTTTTGTTTTGAGTTGGGATCTTGCTACCCAACCCTGGCTATCCTTGAACTGAAAGCAGTTCAAGCCGCCTCCTCCCCCACTGCAAGTGTTTCTGCAAGCCCCACACCCTGCTGGGACTCCTACAACAGAAAAAGAGGCTGGCCTGATGTGTTACAAAGATACAAGTTCCATGCCACTGTGCATATACACTCTCTGGAGGGCAGCCTCACTGTACCAAGATGTCCTGGCAGAGGAGAGCCAGTCTCAGTAGCTGCAGAGCGTTTGCAGTTTTTAAAGCAAAGGAAGAACATAGAATTACGGGAATGTATACCATCACAGAAGGTTTGGAGGGTTTCTGTTTGGTTTTGGTTTAGAATCTTTTTTGTTTGGTGAGTTTTGTTTTGATTTTGGCGCTTTGAGATAAGGTCTTGTTCTGTAACTCAGGCTGGTCTTGAACTTATGAGTCCTCCCACCTCTGGGATGACAGCCACCATGCCAGGCTCACACCTGGTCTTATGAAGTGCTCCAGGTTGAACCCAGGAATTCTTGCATTCCAGGAGAGTGCCCCTACCAATTAAGCTACATCTTCCCTGAGAACATTCTTGACTTTGCCACAGAAAAGATTTTTATGAGGAGCCAGTATGAAGCAGGATTAGAGCTTGTTAGGAAAAGAAAAAGAGTTTAATATAGATTACAGCATGGAGGTTCATAGAAAAGTGAGGAGCTTGGGAACAGAGAACATGGGCCTAAGAGCAGTGTGCAACCTTCTCAAGAGAGGCTTGCACTCTACTGTAAAGACAGTAGCTGTAGATGGGATTTCGGGATGCTTTGAAATTACAGTCTTCAATGGGTTGCAAAGAAGTTTAACTGAGATCACAGGGTGATTGTTGAGAAGCAGCTGTGAAAGGTAAAACTCTAGATATAGAAAGTTAGGATGCCTTTCCTATTAACAAAACTCAATGGTTTTATATATATATATATATATTTTGCATCATTTTGTTGACTTATTGTATGCATATGTACAGGTACATATGGAGATCTGAGGACAGCTCAGGGAAGCTGGTTTTCTCCCGTCATAGCCTTAGCAGATTTTGCCAACCTCACTGACTGGTTTCTTTCACTCTGATAGATCTACAGAAAACTAAGGTGGCTGGACTTTGTTAGAGGTTCTCTAACTTAACTTCTGAACTATATAAATGGTTTTTACAACGTGATGACGCTGATTTCCTTGTTTGTTCTAGTTTTCTATCCAGAGATTTATCAACTATGTGATCAAGCTAGGTGAGTTGTCCTGGTTTTCTCTGCCTTGCTGCTGACTGAAAGCGCCAGCGCTTGTTTACTGAGCTAGGGTTCCCTGATTAGGGTTCGAGGGGATGTCATCTATGAGGCATGAGACAGAGGGGCCACAGCAAGACTGAGGCTGTCACAAGCTTACTGTAAGCAACCAAATTTTGGGGTGGAGGTGCTGTTTTGTTTTTGTTTTGTTTTTTTTTGTTTTCCAAGACAGGGTTTCTCTGTGTAACATCCCTGGCTGTCCTAGGACTCACTTTATAGACCAGGCTGGCCTTGAACTCAGTAATATTCACCTGCCCCTGCATCGTGGGACTAAAGGCATTACGGACTGGCGCAATCGAACTTTTGATACTCCTATCAGATACAGAATATAACTGGGTGGAGGTGCACAACTTCAGTCCCTGCCTGCAGAGGCAGGTGGATTTCTGAGTACAGGCTTGTCTACAGAACAAGTTCAAGGACAGCCAGGACAACACTGATAAACCCTGTCTCAAAGAACCAAAACAACAACAAAAAAACAAAAAACAAACATACAAACAAAACCTGGGTGTACTGGCACACACCTGTAATCCCAGCACTCTGGGAGGCAGAGAGAGGCTACCCAGAGAAACCCTGTCTTGAAAAACAAAAAAAAGAAAAAAAAAATATATATATATATATATAAAATGGCCATTGCCAGGAGGAATACAATTGTAGTTACCAGTTTGCAATAAGATTAATGTCTAAAACTGATTGTTCTGTCAAGCTTCTATGTGCTTCACTGGCTTCTAGAGAATACTGAGTTGCACAGGCAGCCTGAATGTTCCACTTCCTGAGAGAATGCCTGGGTTTCTAAAGAACTGGAAGGCACACAGTGCCCCAAGAGCCACAGACTCTTTCCTGAAAAACCCATGACACATCCCTCTCAAGGTCAGCTAGACCAGGCCACCTCCATGATCCTTGGTCCCCAAAACTGACCAGGTATAAAGAATGGGTTTGTATCACTCCTTAGGAGGGTTCAGCCAGCATGCTGGTGGTACTCAGTTGGGAGCAGAGTCCTGGCCTGACCCTGACCTTCACTGGCAACCGAATACATGATCAAGTTAACAAATCTTTCTCCTCCACCCCAGTACTGTGCTCACCAACACACACACACACACACACACACTATTTTCTATTCCTTATTCCTTATAGTGTCGGCTCTCCAATTATTTGCCTCAGCTCATTAAAATTCTACTGCTGCACTGTGGCTGATTTCATACTAAGTACTTGGAGGAAAGCAATCTGAAAACAGATCTTACTAAATTGTGAGTGACTGACAGTTCCCCCCAAGAGTGTTTCAAGAGTATTTGAAATTTAAAATGAGTTTATTAACACCAGTAAATTAAAACGGATGGAGGTTTGGTTGACAAAGGAAAGTTAGGGGAAAACACTGAGTCTGAGCAGAGGAACCTCTGCAGAGTGTCTTAACTTACTGCACAGCCAAGGACAGGTGCTGCCATTCACTCCAGCGCTGCAAGAGACAGGCCCTGGGGACAACTAGATGTGGGTCAAATCCAGAGGTTCTCAGTGTGCTCTTGGCAGACCTCCCATCTCCCTTTCAGGGCCTCTCTGCCTCATTGTCGCAACTCTCTGCTCTGCCCAAGCACCTATTGTCTCCTTGGTCTCATTCCCACAGTTTCAGCTGGCTTTCCCAATCCCTCCAAGAGAGTATTTCCATTTGCTTTCCTACTTTTGTCATAGTGACACTGCTTCTGCTAATTATCATTATTGTTCCTTTGTCCTAACCAATATGTTTAATTAACAAAGATTGTGATTTTAATATAGTAATTATGTGTCTCCAAAATGCATTAAGGTAGAAAATTAACTGGAAAATGAAGCATGGTAGTACTTGTTTGTCATCCTGGCCCTGGGATAGCGGAAGCAGAGAGACCAGAATTTCAAGGTCATTCTTGCCTGCAAAGGACTTTGAGGCCAGGCTGGACTATAGAGCCTGTCAAAATAAATAGTGAAATGAAATATAAATAAAATATCTATAGCTGGGTATAGTAACGCATGCCTGTAATCCTAGCCCCATGAAAACGGACAAAAGGATTTTTACAAGCTCTAGGCCAACTACAAGGTTCAGGACAGCCAGGGATATGTAGCAAGACCTTATCTCTGAAAGGATTTTAGAGGCTGGAGAGATGGCTCAGTGGTTAAGAGCACTGGCTGCTCTTTCAAAATACCCAGATTCAACTTCTAGCATCCACAAGGTGGCTTACAACCATCTTAGCTCCAGTTCCAGGGGCTCTAACACTCTCTTCTGGCCTCCATGGGTACAACTCACATGGTATAAAACATATATGCAGACAAAACACTCATACACATAGAATAAAATATACATTTTGAAAAAAGGGGAGTTTTAAAAGGCTGGAGTGAGCCGGGCGTGGTGGTGCACACCTGTAATCCCAGCACTCAGGGAGGCAGAGAGGCAGGAGGATCTTTGTGAGTTCGAGGCCAGCCTGGTCTACAAAGTAAATCCAGGACAGCTGAGGCTACACAGAGAAACCTTGTCTCGAAAAAAACTAAAAAACAAAACAACAACCACCAAAAAAAAAAAAAAAAAAAAGGCTGGAGTGATAGCTCACTGGTTAAGAATGGTCCATGCTCTTCCAGAGAACCAAAGTTCAAATTCCAGCACCGCTTAGAGCTACCTTCTATTGGGCCATGAGAGCCTGCTGACACACATGGCACACACTCACACATAAATAAATTAAAAAAAAATAAAATAAAGGAAAAAAAATCAACATCAAGGGGGAAATGGAAGCGTTCCCATCAGTTCTGTTGTGTCTGGAAAACACCGTTTCCTTGGAGTCATCTGTTCCCTCTGTCCCTTCCAATCTTTCCACCTCCTCTTCCCCACAGTTCCCTGAGTGGGGGAGGGAAGTTCATGAAGATACCTTGTTTAGGACTGACTGTCCACCATTTTTAATTATTGAGAAAGGTGTTTGCACTAAGGTCTTGATTTGGCTTGGCTTCCTGGCCACTGAGCTTCAGGCATCCACCCTGAACTCTTGAACTTTTTGTTTTTAAGTCAGCTCTATTATTTATTTTAAATTTTTTTTTACTCTTATTTATTTATTGTTTTGGTTTTGGTTTTTCAAGACAGGGTTTCTCTGTGTAGCCGTGGCCTCGAACTCATAGAGATCTCTGCCTCCATGAGTGCTGGAATTACAAGCATGAGCCACCACACCCAGCTATTTTTATTTTTATTTTATGTGTGAGAGTGTTTTGTTGGGCTGGGGAGATGGCTCAGCTTTTAAGAGCACTGTCTGCTCTTCCAGAGGTCCTGAGTTCAATTCCCAGCAACCATATGGTGGCTCATAGCCATCTACAATGGGATCTGATGCCCTCTTCTGACTTGTAGGTGTACATGCAGATAGAACACTCACACATACATAAAAAAAAAGAAAAATCTTAAAAGGGGGAGGGGGCTGAAGAGATGGCTCAGAGGTTAGGTGCATTGGCTGCTGCTTTTCCAAAGGTCCTGAGTTCAATTCCCAGCAACCACATGGTGGCTCACAACCACCTATAATGAGATTTGATGCGCTCTTCTGGAGTGCAGGTGTACATGCAGGTAGAACACTGTATATATAATAAATAAATAAATCTTTAAAAAAAAAAGTGTTTTGCTACATGTATGCCTGTGGTCCATAAGTGTGTCTGGCAAGCAGGCTAGAAGTAGGTATTGGATCCCCTCCAATTACCATCACATATAGTTGTGAACCGACATGTGGGTGCTGGGAATTGAGCCCAGGTCCTCTGGAAGAACAGCCAGTGCTCTTAACTACTGAGCCGTCTCTTTACCCACACACACACCTTGAACTCCTGATCCTCATGCCCCACTTCCTAAATGCCGGGATGATTGTTCCACCATGCTTGGCTCCTTACTTTTAAGGCCTTTGGCTCTAAGGGGTTTTTCATTTGTTTGTTTCCATTTTTCTTATTTATTCTGAGTTTGTGTGTGAACTTACAGTGTACCATAGCCCAAATGTGGATGGCAGAGGCCGACTTGAGTGAATCGGTTCTTCCACCATGTGGGTCCTGGGGATTGAGCTAAGTGGCGTAGCAGCACCTGCCTTTACCTGCCAAACCCCATTGCAGACACCAACTTTTGCTTTTGTGTTGTTTTATTTTGTTTGTTTATTTACTGCGATGCAGAGATTTGAACTCAGGGACTCATGCACTAAGCGAGCACTCCACTGCAGAGCTACACTCGCAGCCTCGTGTTGTCTTATAGTCTGTTAATTTGTTAACATAAGCAAGAGGGATTTATTTTAACATGTTTCCACTTATTTGTGCATGCTCATGTCGGAGTATGGAAGTCGGGGGAAACGTGCAGAAATTCCGGCGATTGAGCTTAGGGTGTCAGGTTTGGCTGCAAGCGCCTTTGCCAGCTGAGCCCTCTCATAGGCCCAAAAGGATGATTTCTTTTAGAAAAAGAAATTCATTTCTTTTTTAGTATGTGTTTGGGAGGCACTGGGGCAGGTATGAGTATTTGCACACGGATGTAGTGCCCTCAGAGGCCAGAAGAGAATATTGGATCCCCTAAAGCTGGAATTACAAGGGGGTCTGAGCCACTCTGCGTTGGTGATGGGAACCAAACTGGGACCTTCTGAAAGAATAGGGAGTGCATCTGCGGTGCTGAGCCATCTCTCCAGTCCTGAGAGGAGATTCCTCCTCTGCTCTTTGTGTGTGTGAGACGAGGTCTCATGTTGCCTTGAACTCTTGGTTCTTGAATCTCTACGTCTCAAGTGCTGGGATTACAGGTGTGTGCACCGCGCCCGGCTCAGTCAAACTGACTGCAAGCATTCTTATCTTTGAGGTTTGTTGCAGTAGTTACCTTGCATAGAATGTCTCCTTTGTGTGGTTTGTGGGAAAGTGGGCAGTACTGGATATGCTTCCCCCCACCCGCCCGTCTAGGTTTTGGAGTGTCGCAGACCAAAGCCATCATGACGCTGGTCTCTGGGATTCCAATGGGCCCACCCCGGCTGCCCCTGCAGAAGGCCACCAAGGAGTTTACTGCTAATGCTGAGGCCAAGCTGAAGAGCCTGAATTTCCTTTCCTTCTCTGATTTAAAGGATGAGACCGTGGGAGCCTCTAGCTAATGCCTGTTAAGTCGGGGCACCTTCAGTTTACCCACATTGTTTTCTCAGGGACTTCTTAGATAAATTTGAACTAAGCTTTCTTTTAGCAAATGGAATCCCATACCAATCAAGAAATATTTACATGTCAATTATGAACCTAAAAGTTTCTGTGTTGTAAAGGATACCTAAGTCATTTATTTCACAAATTGTAGAGAAATCTTTGCTTATACAGATACAATGGAATCAAGTGAAAATTGTAATAATAATTACAATTCTTAATTAATTACATTAATTAGTATAATTGTTATTGTATTAAATACTGTATTAATTATATTATTGGTTAATAAACTTCATTCACCTAGGACAGCACTCACTGTCCTAATCTTTTTTTTTTTTTTTTAAGATTTATTTTTTATGGGCTGGAGAGATGGCTCAGAGGTTGAGAGTACTGACTGTTCTTCCAGAGGTCCTGAGTTCATGGACATGGTGGCTCACAATCATCTATAATGAGATCTGGCTCCTTCTTCTGGCCTGCAGGCAGAACACTATATGCATAATAAATAAATAAATCTAAAATTAAAAAAATGATTTATTTTTTATTATTTATACAGCATTCTGCTTGCATGTATGCCTGCACACCAGAAGAGGAACCAGATCTCACCATAGGTGGTTATGAGCCACCATGTGCTCGCTGCACATTGAACTCAGGACCTCTGGAAGAGCAGCCATCTCTCCAGCCCCACTGTCCTAATCTTATTTCAAAGTTTTGTGATCTGAGTATTGTCTTGATTAGGGTTTTATCGCTGTGGAGTGACACCATATAAAAGCAAACATTTAATTGGGGCAGTTTCAGAGGTTTAGTCCATTGTCATCATGGCCGGAAGCATGAAGGCACGCAGGCAGACATGGTGCTGGAGAGGTGGCTGTGAGTTCTACACCCAGATCCGCAGGCAGCAAGAAGGAGACTGTACCACCCTGGGTGTAGCCTGAGCATATGAGACCTCAAAGCCTGACTCCAAAGTGACACCCTTCCTCCAACAAGGCCACACCTCCTACTAGTGTCACTCCCTATGGGCCAAGCATGCAAACACGAGTCTGTGGGGACCATTCCTGCTTGCTCGCTTTGCTCCTTACACATCCCAACTCGAGCAGGTCTGACACCACCCACAGTGGGCTGGGCTCTTTTCAGATTAGGCATCAGTCAAGAAAATGCCCCAGAGGGTTACCTGCAGACCAATCCGATTTTCTCAGCTGAGGTTTCCCCTTCTCAGATGACTCTAGCTTCTGTTAAGTCGACAAAAAAACTGTATGTGAGGTGGGGCAGTAAAACTGTTGATGAGCCGGTGCCGTGGTGCACACCTGGGATCCCAGCACTCTGAGAGGCAGAGGCAGGCAGATCTCTGTGAGTTCGAGGCCAGCCTGGTCTACAAAGTCCAGGACAGCCATGGCTACATAAAGAAACCTTGTCTCGAAAAGAAAAGAAAAAAACTGTCGGGGCTGGAGAAATGGCTCAGTGGTTAAGAGCACTGCCTGCTCTTCCAAAGGACTGAGGTTCAATACCCAGCGCCTGCATGGCAGCTCACAGCTGTCCATTTCCAAGAGATCGGACACATTCATACTAATGCACAATAAATAAAATTAAAAACTGTCGACATGACAGTTCCGTTATTGTGATTTAGAGGGAGAAAATATCCAGAAGCATCTGGAAAATTCCAGAGCAGAGAAAAAAAGAGAAGCAGACTAAACATGGCCAGCACTAGGGAAGCAGGAGAGCAGAAAAGAATAGTGGAGATGGTGAGATAGAAAGCGATGGAGAATAGGGCATAGTGAGGACAAGAAAGAAGCAAGAAAGAGAAAGTGAGAAAAGCTGGTTATAGAAAGGGTGAGTAGCTGGAGGAGGGCAGGAGACTAGGGTAGACGCTTTGAAATGTCTGACAAGTACTTGTTAATAAGTTCCAAGGGAGCCTGGAGGTCAGCCCCGTATATTGGACATATGACTGATCAGTAGCAACTTGATTAAATAAATTTCTGTCATCTGCATTGACCGGGTGTTTGAGTTATGTCGGGTTTAGGTGAACCCCACAACAGTATATGCCTCTTTCACTTGAGGTGAGGGCAATGAATGACTCCTTGTGGCAGGTGGGAACTTGTCTAACAAGTTCCTGCAGAATTCTGGCTTTTATCTAAGTTCCAGAAATCCTATAGTTCAAGATTAGACATACTGAGTCCTAAACAAACAACAACAAAACACAACTAAGATACCTTCTCTTCTCTATTCTTCTCCTCTTCTCTTCTCTCTCCCTCCTTCCCTTCCTTTCCCCTTCTTTTCTTCTTTCCTTCCTTCCTGCTATGTAGCTCTGGCTGGCAATGATCTTGCAATAGTCCTCTTGCCCCTGCCTCCTGAGTGCTGGAATTGCAGGTATGTGCCAAATTACCACATGAATTAATTTTCCCATGAAAATAAATATTGCATAGCCACTAAGTAAATATTTCTGTTGTTGTTTTTTTAAAAATGTTACTTGGTTTCCTTTTCCAGACAGGGGTTCTCTATGTAACAGTCCTGGCTGTCCTGAAACTCACTTTGTAGACCATGCTGGCCTGGAACTCATAGAGAACCACCTGTCTCTGCCCCGAGGGCTGGGACTAAAGGCATGCTACACCACCCAGCCAATACTTGCTTTTTAAATGACAGTTGGTGATATTTCCTTAAAATAAAAGTAATGTGATAATTAAAAATGAACAGAGCCAGGTTTATCTTCTTAGACATCCAAATGCTCAGGAATTAACTTTGTATACTGAGTATTGTAACCCCTGTTTCAAGATGAAAATCTGAAGTCAGCTCATTGGGAAAGCTGGCAGTACAGAGCAGTCTCACAGACTGATTGTACTTGGGACTTCTTGTGGGTTTATTTAAAGATGTAGGAAAGTGCCGTGGGCAGATCACGGAATTAGGAGTGGGGAGTAATGTGTGCACTTGCCTAGAAAAACTCTGCACTTAAGAGAAAAAAAAATCCCCTTTATTATTATCCGAAAAGCATTGGGGGAGTTCCCTGCTCTTAGGGGACTTTCTAGAATGATCACAACCCAAACCCACACATCTTCCTGCCTCGTAGTCCTTTCGCATGGGGGAGAGGAGCTGTGGAGGCCACAGCTCATCATATGGGAGCAAACAGCACATCACACTACCATCAGCGCACCATCTCTTTGCCATATGCTTATCTATCTATAGTGGAGATGGTGAGATGGAAAGCGATGGAGAATAGGGCATAGTGAGGACAAGAAAGTAGCAAGAAAGAGAAGGTGAGAAAAGCTGGTTATAAGAAGGGTGAGTAGCTGGAGGAGGGCAGGAGCCTAGGGTAGACACTGGGGTTTCCTCAGTGAAACCAAGAAGGATGCTTCAAACCAAGATTCGGCAAATGGCAGCTCCTAGGGCTAGCTAAAGGTCGAACATTACTTCTCATCACTTCTCATCACTTCTCATCTGAGTAAACAAAAGAGCTAGACTGTGCTTTGGTGACATGAAGCAATTTGAAACACGGAACACGTTAGCATTAAGTTAGACAACCAAGGAAAATTCGGAAGGATGGTCTGAAATCATAGTCACACAACTAGTAAGCGGAATGCCCACAGAACCCATATCCCAACCGGACTTGTTCCCTTTGAGCATGGCAGTGTTCAGGTTCTGAAAGATGAACCACCACGGGAACCACAGCTAATGGACTGCACCTCATAAATTCCAGTGTCCTACAGTTGAGCCAGATGTTGGGTATGATGGTACAGGGTCCTTGTGAGCGCCAGACATTGGTGTGAGGAAGGCACCTTCTCAGCCATTAGCAAGTACATGTCCTTGAGGAAGTACCTCAGCATCTCGGGGGTTAAATCCAAGTCCAGTTTGCCTCATGCAAGGTTACCCTGAGCATTCGTTACTTTTCCTGCTGCTTTGATAAAGTGCCCAGTGGGAAGCAAAGAAGGACAGGAAAGATTTACCTGAGGTCATAGTCCCCCCGGGAAAATCACTGCAGCAGAAGCTTGAAGTAGCTGCTCACCTGCGCCTGTGGTCCTGAGCCTGAGAGTGATTAATGCCTGTGCTCAGCTCACTTCTCCGACGGGCCTGAAACTCTCTAAGTGGATCACGCTGGGTTCACACTCACAGATCTGCCCACTTTTGCCTCTTTAGTGTTGAAATTAAAGGAGTTCACCTGGTAAGGCTCACTTTCTGTTTGTTTTCCCTTCCTTCCTGCCTGCCTGCCTTTCTTTCTTTTGCATTTTTTTGAGAGTGTCCCCACTATAATCAAGGATGGCCTTGAGCTCTATATAGCTGGTGATCCTCCTGCTATCTTGAATACAATGGAGCTTTCTTTTTTTCTTTAATAATTTGTTTATATATTTTTATTTTCTGTATATTGGAATTTTGTCTGCATATTATGAGAGAGTTGGATCCCCTGGAACAAGAATTTTAGACAGTTGTGAGCTGTCATGTGGGTGCCAGGAATTGAACCCCAGGTTCATCTGGAAGAGCAGCCAGTGCTCTTAACTGCTGAGCCATCTCTCCAGTCCAAATCAATATCCCTCATTTTCATTAGCTCTATTCTATTTTTTGTTTTTGATACAGGGTTCTTCTGTGTAGCCCTAACTATCCTGGAACTCACTCTGTAGACCAGGCTAGCCTAAAACTCAGAGATCCACCTGCCTCTGCTGGGTTTAAAGGTTTGTGCTACCATGCCTTGCCTAGGCTCACTTTTTTAAACAGTCCAGGATCTCATTCCAGGAAATAGTACCTCCCACAGTGATTGAATCTTTCTGCCCTCACTTAACCTAATTAATATTAGCCAGGTGTGGAGGTGCGTACCTGTAATCCTGGCAGAAGCAGGCAGATCTCTGTGAGTTGGAGGCCAGCCTGGTCTACAAAGTGAGTCCAGGACAGCCAAGGCTACACAGAGAAACCCTGTCTTGAAAAACCTAAACAACAACAAAAACATACACACAAAACAAAAACAAAACCAAACAAAAAAAACCCTAATTAATATTAATTGATTAATTAATTTAATTAACTAAACAAGACACACCAGTAAGGTGAAGAGTAGCGGAAGATACATCCCAGTAGGGAAAGAATGGAGGGAATGACTGAGCAAAAGGTAGGCACAGTCTGGTATAGGCATGACTTTTTGGCCTCAGGCCTCAGGTCTGGTTGTGCAAGGTGTTCTAAAGGAGGGCTTGGGAGGACAAGCTGGTTCTCT